CTTGCATTATACGCACAAGAAGCAAGCATTCCGAACCGCACTGGTAAGTTCATACCTATTAATCTCATTGTGTATTGGTTATTTCATCGTTCTAGCCACAGTTAGAAGGTGCATCCAACTCTATTCTTGCTCCACTGCTGCCAGCGGCGGCTATTTTCTATCTTGAGGAGTACGGACCTGATAAATATGCGGAGGTTTTCTTAGGCGAATTCGATAATCCTGAGATTATTTGGAGCACTCAAATGAGGTTCGTTAGCTCCCCTCTCTTATCAGTTACTCATATATCTTGCTTTTACTATGATTACAGGCGTCATCTGATTGAGCGAATTGCAGTGCATGTGTCGGACTTTTCAAACCGGCTCACTTCTAATGTAAAAGTGAGTGCTGCCTTTTCCTGTTTGAAAATAATGTTTGGAAATACGATTATTTCATCGTTTTGTTCCAGGCGTTGTATCAATATTGCCCAATACCATTGATAGACTATCCAGAATTGCAAAATGAGTTGTTCTGTTATGTATACTATTTGCGACATCTTTGCGATCGACAGCGATTTCCGGACTGGGAGATCAGAGATCCGGTAAGGTTTATGAAAAATCACGCTTTTTCCAAAGAGTGGTTGATTTTATATGCAAATAATCGCGTATGCTCCCGGTCTTTCATTGAATGATTTTGTGCAGTCAATTCTTTAGATTCCATTTTTGCGAGCTTGCCTAGCTGCATGGTTCGAAGAATTGGAGAAGAAACCGCCTGTTATGTCCATTGAACAAGCTCGAGAAACTCTAGGTCTGAATACAATGGAAGATGGGTCAGTCTTATTTCCACTTTCTGATTAAGTCGACTTCTTTTGTTCCTAAAAATGAATGTTTTCTTATATTGGACGTTTTTTGCAGATGGCAGGATGCGGCTGTAGTTCGTCGAGCCTACTTCAAGCTAGCCGCAAAATACCATCCTGACAAGAATCCTGAAGGTCGAGAAATGTTCGAGAAGATCAACACAGCGTACGAACTGCTTTCGAGTGATGCTGGTCGCTCATCTATGCCTGACGCGCATCGCATCGTTCTGTTTCTTCAAGCGCAAAGCATCATCTACAGTCGTCATAGCAAAGGTACGCTAAGTGTTGGGCCACTTTCTTCAGAGAGTCAAATCTTGCAATTAGATTATTTTTATGTATATTTCTTGTTCTTAGAGCTATCTGAGTATAAATATGCCGGTTACGGGCAGCTGATCCGCACTATCGATTTGGAGGCTCAAAACGCTTCGCTTTTCCAAGAAGGTGGTGGCGCTTTATTGAGTGCAGCTATCGAACTGGCAAATTACACTCTTGTGAGCAGCCCTCTGAACGCCGAACAACTTCGAAGAGAACAGGGACTTGAGGTATTCAATTTTTCAAATAAGTACATCATACCATGATCAGAGCCTGTGTTCTACGATGAATAACTTAATTCAGGCTTTGCAAACAGCTTTTGATCGGTGTGTACCAGTAATCACTGTCAGCTCGTCTCCTACGGATATGGCAGTCCAGGTAGGGCTGTAGTTTCTA